TTCTTTCCCCAAAGAAACAAACAAATCCTGAAGTGATTATGTTTGGCTACGTTTTGCACCATCAGTAGAAACGCAGGGCTAGAAGGTGAAGTTCAGTGATATAAGTTTGATTCTGCACACTTCAGATATCAATATACTCCTCTTGAAGGGAGGACGTTTCTGCTCTGTCTTGTTCTGGAGCCTCTTATCACCTGGGCTGTAACTTTTCTCCGCCTCTTTGAACCTGGGGCTTAAGGAATGAAGGACCATGGAGTCCAGACCTGAAAGCACACAGTGAGGAGCCCAGCTTGGGACCTGAATGTCTAGGGGTCCTCAAACTTTTTAAACAGGGGGCCAGTTCATTGTCCCTCAGACCATTGGAGGGCCGGACTGTGGGCCCTGGGGCTGCTAAGCAAGACAGGCAGCGGGGGAAAAAACACCCGTCGGGCTGGATGAATGTCCTAGGAGGGCCACATGTGGCCCACAGGCCGTAGTTTGAGGATGCCTGGCTAGGAAGACCTCAGGTTTTTTTTTGTTGTTGTTATTTATTTATTTTTGAGACAAAGCCTCAAGCTATCGCCTTGAGTAGAGTGCCATAGCATCACCGCTCATAGCAACCTCAAACTCTTGTGCTTAACCAATTCTCTTGCCTTAGCCTCCCAAGTAGCTGGGACTACAGGCACCTGCCACAATGCCCCCACTATTTTTTGGTTGCAGTTGTCATTGTTTGGCAGGCCCAGGCCAGATTCAAACCGGCCAGCACTGGTGTATGTGGCTGGTGCCTTAAGTCACTTGAGCTATAGGCACCACCCTAGACCTTAGTTTTTATCTGAGGAAGGCAGATTAATGGCCCATAAAGATGTCCACGTCCAGAATAAGACAGATTCTGCCAAACAACAGGAACAGCCACACTGCATTAACAACAATGGAGGAAAAAGCCATGGAGACACAGGCTATAACATAAGCAAGCTGAAATCTCCATCTTTCACAGGAAACTAGGTGAGATTATCTAAAACTTTAAATGAAGTCTTACAGAAGCATATTTATTTTTCAGTTGTGAAAGTAAACAGCAGAGGGAGAAAAAAATCCTGATAAGAGGGGTTTCTTCTAGGAAGAAAGAATAAGGATAGGAAACACTTGCTTTTCAGAACACAGAAAACTCGTTTTCTTCAAAAAATGATATTAATTTTTTTTTAAAAAAAGAAAAAGTCCAGTTTTCTAGCAAAGCCTGTCTCATTTCAAAAACAGTGCTTTATTTGGAGAAGAAACCATTTTATTACAAACACTGAGACCTAATAAAGTCCACCTGGAGTCATGTGCGTTTAATAAGACTGCTCTCTCCAAGTATTTTCTTAAATAAAAAGGTATTTGTTTTCTACTGCTATGTAGCAAACAACCACACATTTACCAGCCTAAACACACATTTATACTCCATAGTTCTGTAAATCAGAAGTCCAGACACAGCATGGCTGTATCCTTTGCTCAGGGTCTTACCAAGTGGAAATCAATGTGGTAGCTGGACTTCATTCCCATCTGGTGGCCCCAAGGACGAATCTTCCTCTCAGCTCCTCTGGGATGTCTGCTGAATGAGGTTTTTACAGTTGTCCAGCTCAGCTCTCTATTGCCTTGCTGTCAGCAGGGGCTGTTTTCAGCTCCCAGACACCCACATACTCACATCCTTCATCTTAAGTCAGCAGGGGAGACTCCCAATGCTCTCCACCTGACGCTCTTACACTGAGTCTCCTCAGCTGGTAAGACTGCCCTTCGAAGTGCTGGCCTGAATAGAGGTAAACTGATTTAGGTAAACTGCTTTGAGACCTTAATTACTGAAGCAAAACTCTTCACTGCTGTACCTCAGTACCTAGATTAGTGTTTGATTACATAACTGGGAAGGGTGTAGGCCAGACAAGGGGAATCTTGGAGGCCATTTCAGACTTCTGTTTCCTACAGCAAGCAAATCAGGGTTGTATTCTCTTCAATAAAGATAATAGGTTATTTACATGCTGCAATTAGAAAAATATTTTTAGGCATATGAATGCCATCCTGCATTTTTTTTTCCAGCTTGATCGAGAGCTGATTGTCAAATAAACCCTGTATGTAGTTAGGGTGTGTGCTGTTTTCACATACGATACATTGTAAAATACCACAGTGAAACCAATTAGTATTTCCACATCTCAGTTACTTCTGTGCGTGGTAAGAACATTTATGATCTGCTCGTTTAGCAACTTTAAATATGCTATCTTCTAAAGTTTCTTAATAAGATAGTCTACTGTTCGGGCAATGTAAGTAAACCTAGGGAACAACTTAAAAAGATAAAGGAGAACAACATGAATTCTAAAAAAAAAATTTTTAAGTATTTAAAACTTGTATTCAATTATCTAATTGATGTATCTCATTGAAGTAACTGATATACACATGGTAGCCTAGTGTATTTCAAAATATTTTAAATCCGAGTCCAAGAAGGGCCCCAGGAAGACTAAGGGAGCACTGATCAATTTCATGATGTGGGAAAACTGATTTGCAGTTGCTGATGAAAATAATAATTTTCACCATCAGACACTTCCCCCATATGAGTTAGGAAATGCACTTTAGAGAAAACCATTGAGAAGAAATAAGACTAAAGCTTACAGCCAAGGAAAGTTATGGGCACTAGGAGACTATCCTACTGGTGTTGCTCATCAAAACGCTGTTCTGTTTTAGAGACTATAAAATACCTCCTCTTTTCTGCACACTTTCCTCCTTCCGCATGCTTCCCTGCTGATAATCCTTAGCACTACAGATTAATGTAAGGGAGCACAAGGCAGGAGTTCACTCAGTTCTCATCCTGCCGTGCAACTCTGGAGAAGGCATTTCTCTCTGGGCCTCACCAGCCACATCTGTAAAGTGAAACCCTTTTAAAATGTTGGAGCTGATTCGGACCTCTGAGATCATGATCTTTATCATTCCACCTAGCTCGAACGTCCTATTGACCCAAATATAAACTTTCAAGAAGGGAAACCATTCCACCTAAAGACAGAAATGTCAGTGGACGTAACAGGGTGTTGGGTTCCCTGAAGTAAATTATCACTTCTCATTTTAGAGTTAGCTTCTACCCATGTTTTAGCATTTCAAGAAGTGAGTCCTCCAGATCAGTGTTTTTCAAACTTTTTTTTAATCGCACGGCACACTTGAACCCATAAACTTCCACACCACACTTAAATTATATTGATTACAAAAAAGAGTTAAGAAAAGCATATGCTTACCGTGCTTTGAATTTCTTTCAAAAATAACTTAATGATCTTTAAAATTTTTCACAGCACACCCATTGAAAATCGCTGCTCTAGGTCCAACTCCTTTCTCCCCCTTGCAATTCAAAACCATGGTCTATTTTTTTTGCCTATGTTGTTAAGTTCTTTACAATAACAAAAAGAAGGTCATTATCCTACAAAGTTATAGATGCTTCCAATGCCTAATGTATTAAAATCAATTCAGTTTTCCTGTAACAAGAACGCCTCGTCACCTTGTTTGGCAGGATGCACAAGAAAAAGGAGAGAAGGCAGGACTCACAGTTACGTTATTCTGAATTCTGGTGCTTTTGTTGGCACTCCTGAACCTTTGACATAATTTAATTCAATTCACATTTACCCAGAGGTTATGATGTGGCTGGTTTTGTGCCACACTGTAAGTTTCCAAGGGACATCTTTTTATCCTCGGGACACAGCACAATGTTGAGAACTTAGAGGTTCTCAAAAATGTTCCCAGAATGAGCTCAGATAATGCACATTCCCTGCTTTCAAGGAGCTCATAATCTAGTGGGGAAAGTAGAAATAGGGTAAATGACAGAGGAAAGAAATATCAGATCACACAGTGGTACTGGTGTCATGCAGAATGGCCCCCAAAGATGTTCATCTGCCAATCCCCCAAACCTGTGTACATGTTGTTACACAGCAAAAGGACATTAAAGTCAAAGATGAAATCAGGTTGGCTGATCAGTTAGCCTTAAATCTCATCAGCTCTTAAGCCAAGAAGAGGGAGGTGGAAGAGTGAGTCAGACACAGGTGATGTAAGAAAGACCAGATCTGTCCTTGCTGGCTTAGAAGTGGGAGGAATCCAGCCACAATAGCCAAAAAACGTGGGTGGACAAGAGCGGTCTGGAAAGGCCAGACAGGGAGCCTGCACTACAGCCTTGGGGAAAAGATGGGAGCCTTGTTCATACCTAGGATGACTTTCAGCCAGTGATCCAACCTGTAGAATTAGAAGTAACACATTTGTGTTGTTTTAAGACACTAAGTATGTGGTAGTTTGTTACAGAAGCCACAGGAAAGGAATCCAGGGTCACAGAATTGGTTTCAGCTGTGAGAAGTTCTTCATCATGGTGGTATCTCAGAAGCATAAAAGACCCAGGTGTAGTGGAGGGTAACAGGTGTTTATGAACTACTGTCTTGCTACTTCTAGTACTGTCCCTCTGAGTTGGCACTAGTAGAAACTGTCCATTTTGGTGAAATGCAAAATGTCAGGTCAGGCTCCACTGTAGACCTACTGCGTCAGAGTTCACATCTCAGTAAGATCCCCAGATGATCTGCATTCATATTAAAGTCTGAGAAGCAGAGCATTAGGTTAAATCTGTTAAAAAACAATTTTAGAATGTACAAATCTTTGATTCTTTGTTGACCCCCCAAAAAAGTCTGGGAAGAAATATTCAATAAGAATGCTAGGTTGCCATTTGCTGCCATTAACAAAAGAAAAAAAAAATCCACTGCTCTTAAGAAATGAAGAAAGCCCTTCGTCTCTCAGTAAAATCTGTCTCCACCTGCAAAGGGTTTTCCTTCTGTGACAATTGTCATGAGTTGAAAGATTATAAATATCAAAATTATATTACCTTTAAAGAAATATTAGAATCCCTGGAATTATACTCATAAAAACATCTTGTGGGATATGGAATAATTTCATTCACAGGATACATTTTCTTTAATTACTTTAATATAAAAGACAGCAATGTTCCACATTTCACATAATATTAAAAAAAGTGTAAAACCTTCTAATAAGTTTTTAATGAAAATAAATTTATTAAAGGGTAACAATGATCACAAATTTAAAACTACCAAGTCATTACTGATACCTTTTGCATTAAAAATATTCGGAGGGTAGGTGGAAAAAGATACATAACAGAATATGGACATTTTAGAACTACATGTTATCCAGCCTTTATCTTTTTTGCTAAATCTGGTGTACAACAGAAGATGTATTCTCCATGGTTGTAATGATACTCTACTAAAGTTATACTTCAAAGATGCTAACACAGTCCCCCACCAATTAGAAGACATTGCAAATCCTTCCATCTGTTTCTAAAAATAAAATAAGCAATGGCCCCATGAGTCTTTCCCTAGGTAAAAGATTCAGGTAAAAAAGAGAACATTAACAGAGAACTGGTGATGGTGACCAGAACAAGAAAATCAGTATAATCAAGAAAGATGTAAAATTATTCAACATAATCTGGTATGGTTAGATTAATGCAACTCACACAATAAGTCAACAATAGTAAGTCCCCCTGAAGGAACTGGGTAACGCCATCCAGAGCCCTCTTTTTAAATTCACAGCCCTCTTTTAAAATCAATTAAAATTGATTTATTTTAATCAATCTATAAGGCAGGTAACCTGCTGGCCCACATGCTGATTCTGCAGACTTTTCTTGCTTTTCTGTGACAGGCCTTTTTTATTGTTCATCAGCTTTTGTTGGTGTTCCTGTTTTTATCACAATGCTGCTTCTTCCATGTATAGCAGAGATTAAGAAAAAAAAGTCGGACACCCCTGCTAAAAGCACTACCTCCACATTAGCATGATAACATACATCTTACAATGGTACAAAAGCCAAATCATTATTGGTACTTTTTCTTTAAAGTACACAATTTAAGAAAAGTTCACAATAGTATGCACTTTTGAAAGTTACCAGCGGTGTATACAGTATAGACAGAACAGGCACCTTCATTGTAATTTTTTTTTTTTTTTTAATAAATAAAAGCACAGTAACAAAAAAAGAAGGTAAGCAGCACCTGAAGCCTTTGACATTTGTAACTAAATGCTGGTACCCGCACAGTCTAGCCAGTTAAGTTTCACTAAGAGGCGCAAAAAAGGAGCCGTTTTTTGACTTAACATTTTAATTCTAGTAGAGATAAGAGCTTGTGAGGGTCAGTCCCGCACCTGACAATGTGTAGCAAACCAGTCCTTCCAACGTCCTATACTTTGGAAAGCAGGCCGGACTCTGGAGCACTTGCCTTAATGAGATTCTGAATTTCCTTGAATTTTGGATGGTCTTTGTCAGCCACCAGCTGCAGCAGGACGGCCTCGCTGGTGGTCACTATGATCCCAGTTCGGGCAAGACGCTTCAAAAAAAAAAGAGTAAAGACAAATGGAGATGTGAGCAGAATGAACGCTATTTTAAACAGCAACAGTAAGCCCGGACACGGGAATTAGTATCCTCTGCTGAAGCCACGGTCCCCAACCATTTAGTGATGGGGACCGATTTCAAAATTAGCCACACCACAAGTTCAATATGATTATTTAAAACAGCAACAGTAAGCTGGGTCCCGGGAATTAGTGTCCTCTGCTGAAACCTCGGTCCCCAACCATTTAGTGATGGGGACTGATTTCAAAATTAGCCACAGCACAAGTTCAATATGATTATTCTCAATATTAGTAAAATGGACTAGAAACCAGTAAAAAGGAAACAGGCAGCCAACGTTTGACCTGGATGCGAAGGAGCAAGAGGATTATCAAGGCCGATAGCTAAAAGGGGAGAGAGGACAGAGCCAGGGGAAATCACTGAATATTTAGATACTTTTAACTGACGCTATGTCCTAAACACCATTTGCAGATTTGTGCTTCACCTCTCCCCCATTCATTCCCTCAAATGAGGGCAGCTATTGGACTTACTCCTAAATTTATTAAACTCTTTTATTTCTAACATTGAGCTAAAAAGGTGCTTCTGATCACATTCCCCCC